CTGGGGAATTCTGGGAGTTGAAGCCCACACGTCTTAAAGTTGCCAAGGTTGAGAAACCCTGGTCTAAGCCATGAGACAGGGCTTCCTATTCTAGAAGCCGCCTCATTCCCTTTTGCTTGACCCGAGTGAACCAACAATCCCCAAATGACCCCTTGACTTTATAGAGATGCTTCCCTAGAAATAAAAGCAACTGTGTTTCCCCCCAAAATCTCCGCAAGAGAGATTTTGCTGGAAAACCGCCCCGCTGGGAGGCCCGAAGGCAGCCCTCTGAGCCTCTCGGGGACCCACCCAAGCCGGCCGTTTCGGACAGACCGCCTCCTCCTTTCAGGGTGGCTTCCTGGCAGGGGTCCCGGGGCAGCCCCAGGGCGAAGGGGCAGCAATGAAGCCTCAGCCAAGCGCTCAGGAGGAGTTCACCCACTGCCTCCAAGCGAAGCCAATGAGGAGGGAGACTTCAGCTCTTCAGGGCGAGAACTCAGGTGTGCTCGCTTTTGGGATAGGCTTGTACCAATTTCGCAACTTTTTTTAATGAATGGGACAGCGGTACCTTGAGATTTTAAAAAACTGAAGTGGGAGAAGGCCTGACTGTGCACTGAACAGAGAAGAGGCGTTTCTCAGCATCTCTCTTGAGAAAGCAGAGGTTATTGCAACACGGGGAATTACGATTTAGAGAAGAGGAGCATTCTAGCAAGATCTTTTAACAGGACAACATCAGTTTTGGATACAGGTGGCAGGAGGGAGGGGAGAAGAACAGAATCTACCAGAATGGAAAAGGCACTTTATACATAAATATCTGGATCTATTTTCTTTAAACCTGTTAATAAATCTGCCACATTTATTCAGGCACTCCCCAGCCGTAATTCTGCTTTCTTGGACCGCAGTCAGATAAAATGACTTCATCTTCTGAAGTGAAGGGATATTATTCAGTGCGCAGTCTAGTTTCCACAAAACTAAAAATCAAAACAAAGAGATCCCATCCCGCCATTTTGTGCTCTTTGATTCAAGAACTGCAGCTGGAAGAAAACTGGACTTAGTGCTGGCGGAAATGTCAAGTCTCCTTTGGGTTCAGCTTGGCTCCTGTGCAGTTTTCTTGGCAAGGATATGGAAGGGTTTCCTCTGCCTTCTTCCAGTAAGCTTTCTGCAGCCCTGGGATCTCCTGGTGGTGTGCCATCCAAAACTTGACCATTGTGGAATCAGCCAAAATCAGCTGCCTGCTGCCACCGAGCCAGATGGAAGTGATGGGAGGAACCCAAGTGGGGTTCCTGAAATGTCCTTCTGTCTGTAGGGCTTGCTAGCCAGGAAAGTCTCTGCTACTTTTCAAGCTGATCAATATTTCTGCTTCGAGGAATTAAGTCCGTTAATTAGCACTTCTCTTAGCCTTCCTGCAGATACAGGTATTGCTGAAAGGGCTAAAATGTGGTGGGAGTGGGGGAGCTACTGTGTTAGGCCAGATTGTGTTATTTACAATCCTGCTCGCCCTGTTTCTTTAAATATCAGCTCATCCATTTACCCTCTGCATGACTGTGCAAAAATGAAACCCATCACGACACATTGAAGACTGGAAATTAAAGTACAGAATTGCCTGAATAAAGTCCTCAAGCAAGAGCGACTCCCTCGGCCGAACTCCCGCTGCCTCCGCCGAGTTTTCATCCTTTGCATTTCAGCTGAGGACTAATCTGGAGATGTGGCCGAAAATATTCCTCCGCTAAAAAACCCTCTTTTCTACCGTTGACCGTTAGCTGTGGAGAAAAGGCCAAGGGGCGCTGGCTGAGGAAAGGGGGCTCCGGGCCTCGCCATCAGCGGGGGCAGCGCTTGACCCTCACGGCGGCTGCTCGCCTCGCCGGGGCTCTCGCAGGGCGCCGGGCGGCTCCTGGCTACAAACGGGAGCGGAGCAAGAAGGCCCACAGGCACAGCCACTTGATTTCACACACACACCCGCCACACACACCCACACAAACACACGTGTAGCCTACCTCACAGGGGTGGTGTTGCGAGGCTAAAATGGAGGCGAGAGGAGCCCCTGGGCCCCCTGAGGTCTCTGGGGGAGGCAGGGCCAGACGCAGCTCAGCCCAGCCCAGCCCAGCCCAGCCC